TCGAGTGGTAGCTTTGTTTGTGGAAAAGTTTAGATAAAAACAGACATCGTTTCTTTGATAAATGTTGTAAACGGTACGAATCGACAAAATTACTCATTAATTAATTAACTGCTCGGAACAAAAACAACAAAATGAAATACTTTAAATTTGTTTTAAATGTTCCAATTTCGATATTCAAATGGGTGAAGACTTAAAACTACAATTAAATCAGATGCATTTATTTACAATTTGAGTATCGTGTCGGTTATAAAACGTTAATGCATTTCGGGGTCGTTGTACTGTTAAACAAACGAGACAATTTTAATAATTACAGAAATCTGTTTATAGATATAAAAATGTAATATTAATAATAAAATATTTAAAATTATTCATTTCGACAGTAATAAGATGTCGAAATAATTCCTTAAAAATCTATTCCGAAGACGAATTTCGAATTCGGTATAAATTTTCTAAATATGGATTTGTTCATATTTTAAATCGTATTGGCAACGAAATTAAATAACGAAATAGAAAAGGATTGTCATTAATTGCCGAACAATGATTTTGACGGCCTTAAGCTTTCGGAATATAGCTGACGACCATTTCTGACGTCACGAAGAAATAATCCGATTGGCCGAACGACTCCTAAAACAGGGGAGTAATAGCGAAGTAAGTAAGAGCCAATGTGTAAACGTCGTTTAATGTAAACTCTGTCTCTGCAATCGGCCGTATATGTTGTTGATGTCGACCGACGAATAAAACAAGTGTATGTTTGGGTAAATCAAATTAGCAAGCAGTAACACTAGTGAGACTATAAAAACATTTTTTTCGCATTTTTTCGTTAAGGCATAAAATATTATTTTGTACCATAAATGGTACTGAAATATTATAATGTACTCAAAAGGTACTAAAAATATAAGTGTACTTTTAATGTACTCGAAAAGGCAAAATGTACCCGAAAAGTACAAATGTACTAGGAATGGCAACGCTGCACTTATCCGAAATAATTCCAGTTGGCAAATTTAAATTTTCGCTAGTGCTGTGGCGCTGCAATCTTTGGCTATGTCTTGGGCTACTACAATATTTTTGGTTTGTATATGTGTTTTAGCTGGCAGCATGGCACTTTTGTGTGGTGTTATTCTGAGAACTGTGTGTCGTGCCAGAGTCGGTAGATTAACTGGTCTTTCGACTTCCTATCTTCGCTCGTTGCTAGAATCAACTAGAGACAAATGTTACCACCAGGGGCACTGCAATCACTACAAGACCGCTAGATCGAATCCCTGTGAGGTCGAATGTTTTCTTTTTATTGAAAGATATATAACCTTCGAGTTCGATTTCATAATTTTTATATGCATTTTATTATAAGAATGAAAAAGCTTTTATTTAAACCCAAAACCAGGTTTATGGATAAATAAATGACACTTAATAAAACATTAAACACCTTCTATCGCTGAGAAATGTTTATTTAATAAAACACTAACATTTTCAGCCTCATGGAATAAACTATCCTCAGGTGTAAATGAGTTCGAACGTATTTTATTAAATAAACATTTCTCAGCGATGGAAGGTGTTTAATGCTTTATTAAGTGTTTTAAAAACGCTGATTTTATATTTAGTTAAATAAATGACAAGGAACAAAACTGACACAATAGTATTATTATTATTAAATTGTGCTATTATGTGAATTTATTATACGTTAAAAATTTATTGTACATACAAACAAATTATATTATACATATTAATAATAATTATTATTATTATT